AAAGGGCTGACTGTAGAGTCAAAAGTTATAGGACAGGAGAGGAGAGAGGCGACAAGGTGAAGGGATTAGAAAGAGCAAATTAGTAGACACCATATAGTCACGGAGATATGAAACACAGTGTGGGGAATATAATCAACAACATTGTAAAGATTATGTAAGGTGCCAGATGGGCACTGGACTTATCAGGGGCATCACTTCATAGACTGTGTAGATGCATGACCAATGCACTATACACCTGAAGCTGAAGTAGAATAATATTGTATGTCAACTATAAGTAAATACACACACACACACACACACACACACACACACACACAGCCTATTTCCCCGAAAATAAGACCTAGCTGGAAAATAAGCCCTCTCATGATTTTAGGTGCCAAAATATGAAGCCTTGGCATACTAAATATTTTAAGCTGAAGGAGTTTGTGAAAAAGGCTCCCTTCTCCCTGAAACAGATCATAAAACCCTCATGTGAGGGGTGTCTGCCCTCTGTATCCTGGAGGGATCATGCTAGGGCTTCTTCTCTGGCTAGGTCTTATTTTCGAGGAAACATGGTATACATATATACATATATATACCATGGTATGTATGTGTGAGTGTGTGTGTGTGTGTGTGTATACATATATATATATATATATATATATATATATATATATATATATATATATAGTCATGGGAGGTGGAGTACAGCATAGAGAAGATAGTCAATGGTATTGTAACAGTTATATAAGGTGTCAGAGGGATAGTAGCTTGGAGGAGGGGGCCCTTTGTGAGGGCTGTAAATGTCTAACTATTATGTTGCTTTGTATACCTGAAACTAATAATAATAAAAAAAGACAAAAAAAGAGTCATATGGGGATTTTCAACTGCGAGGGTAGAGGGTTGGGGGTGGGGTGGTGTCCCTAACCCAGGCTTTGTTGAAGGGTCAACTGTAATTGGAGATTAGTAAAAGGCTATACGTTATATTTTTAGTTGTTTTCAATCAAAGATATTTAGTAAGATGCTCTCCTGCCCCATTTTGGGCTATAGAATAATTAATAAAACATAACAGGGTGTAAATTAGAGTGTAATGACATATTCTTTCAGTATAGTTCTAGACACAACTCCAATGCTTTTTAAAATATTTATAAATGAATATCCCCAAATTAAGTTGTTGAGTGTATATTTGGTATATTCAGTTATTAGGCAACAGAATATCATTTTTGAACTAAAAGTGCACTACTTAAAAATGTCTCCAAATGTCACATTATACTTTTGAATAAGTTGCTAAGATTGGACTGCAAAATTTTTGTCCCATTTTAAATAATCTGGTCTCAGATTTTGAATCTTAAAACTATCCAATATAAGCTTATTTTAAAATCATTGCTGTTCCTCTGTTTTTGAAAACACTGTAGGAATTGCAACTGACCTGCAATTTCAGAGGAAAGCAAATAACAGCACAATTGGAACACTTACCATGGGAAATGTACGGCAGAATACATTTAGGACAAATGTGGTGCATAGATTGTTGCTGTCAAGGAGAGGAGCTTGTTTCTATCCACTCTCAGGCTGAGAAATGGAAAGGCATGAAACATTGTGAATGTGCCAAAGTAGATGGGTAGTTAGATGGCGTATATCCACCCCTGAAATCTCATGTGGCTATTAACAATAATGTTTCAAAGAGTATGTATTAAGTTGGGAAATGGTCCTCATATATTAAATGAAACAAGCTGTCGATAAAATAGTACTATAACATTTTAGTTCAATAAAATACCTACTCTGTGAGTTTCTTTTTAATGAGGAGTTAAGCCTGAAAGGACATATGCATGTTATCTCACAAAGCAATGGTAATCTTTCAGCAATAATATCAGGAGTGACTTTAATGTATGGATGCATTTCTGTAGTTTTCAAGATTCCTATAAGGAGCATGCATTCCTGAAGATACCTAACCAGCATTAGTTATAATATATCCAGTATAATTAGTTAGAAGCAGTTCTAAAAGACAGTAGCTAGAATGTCACTGTGTTGAATTAATATGAAATGAAACTTTGTAAAACAACGTCTCTTTCTAGGCATTACCAACACATACTAGTAAGATAGGAAATAGAGATCATCATTTAGTGAGCACTTGATGGGAACAATTACTATCCCCATTTTACAGATGAAGAAACTGGTTAGAAAAACAAGTGTGACTTTCCCAAGGTCATTCTATTAGTCACTGGTACAGCTGAGATCCCACTCATGTCTTTCTAATTTCACAGTTCATGATCTTAATAACTGCACTGGAAATATCAATCTATTTATATATATAGTTCTTATTTAATTTGCATGTAGAGATCTAGGCCATAAAATCAATTTTGATCATAGTAGCACGTAGACCTTTTCCATACATGCCAATGGATTCAAGGATTTTGGAAGAGTGGAATGCTTTGGAAACTACAAACAATCAGCTTGAGACTGTCGAACACTCTATACTTGATTGACTTTCGCTTGGAAGGTAGAGACTAATTGCCTATTGCCTGAACTAAAGGGTTAGGAGTTTCCAAAGTCAAACAAGCTTGTTCTGAGAGAAAAAATATTACCATTAAGTGATAACTTCTCACAGAAACTTAGGGCCACGTGCCATTCCCCCCCCCAGCCAGCACAGACATTGCATAGCTCTTCACATCTTGCTTCCAAATCCTGAAGGCAATTCTATTTCTAGATCATCAGAAATAAAATTGAAGCAGAAACAAAATGGAGATTTATAGTTAATAGACTCAGTTCATTCTTTGGTAGAGAACATGAGAAACCATCATGGTTTTATAATGTTTATTGGCTTCTAGGGCTAAGAATTTTCTCCTGTAAGAGGATGAAATGGCTTTTCCAGTCTAGCTGCCTGCCCTCTGTGTGCTGTAGGTGCCTCACCATGCTGACCGGGACCTAGAAATAACCACTGCACACGTTTCTCGACCTCAGCTCCACTGACACTTGGGGCTGAATAAGTTTGCTGTGGGGCTAGCCTGTGCATTGTAGGATGTTGAGCAGCATCGCTGGACTCTACCCACCAGATGCCAGTAGTTGTTACAAATATCTAGAACAAAATGTCTCCAGACATTGCCAAACTACCCCTGAGTTGCCCTGGTTGAGAGCTATAGATCATATTGTATTCCCTAACCTGGCTTTTTTAACATCCTTTTTGTAAAATAATGCTTGACCTTCACATGGCAGCTGTACATGCCACATGAATTTGTCCCTCTGACTGTGGCTGATTGGGCAAAGGTTGATATGTGACCCAAGCTGGGCCAATCATATTTAGTCTTTTTTGAGAATGCATTTATGACACAGGAACCAAGTCAAATATATGTGGGATATACCATGATGCTGAGTAAGATCAGAGGTGGCACCGTGGAAATAAAAGCCTCATGCCAGTCCTTATGTTGTGGGGGAGCAAAAGCTAAAATCTTTGAGGAAGGAACCATTGCACATAGAAGAGAAGGAGGGAAACAGAGATTAGAAGCAAAGGAAAGAAGATGGCAGCTGCCTGAAGAATTTATCAGTACAGTGAGGTTTGGTTGATTTTCCTGAATTGGATTCCTCAGGATTTCTCTATTTTCTTAAATAATAACTTTCTCTTTGCTTTATCTAGCTAGAATGTGTTTCTCTTACTAACCACCTAATGATTCATAAGGAAAACACATAACATGAGCCAATCAAGAAGGTATTTTTCCCCATCTGTATCTAGAAGCAGAAGAATGGACCCTAAGCCAAGAGACTCAGGCTCTAATTCCTGCTGTGTGACCCTGGGCAAGTGATCCACTTCTTTGAGTCCTGATTTCCTTACTGAAGAATTTGAAAATCAACTGAAACCTGGATCTAAGGCTATAAAAGATTAAGATGGGGAGGGAAATTTGTGGTCCCTTTTAACCTTGAACTCACTGCTGACAGAGCATATAAAATTGTTTTGAATATGGTGGTCACAATTTGGTATTAGAGTCAGTTACTCTGGGATCAAGAGTCAGTCGAACCATGACTTACTAACCATGAGACCGATGGAACATTATTTAACCCTTCTAAGCGTCAGATTCTTCATGTTTAAAATGGGAGGGAAAGTGTATCTGCCCCAATGATTTCTGTTTCTGGTCTTTAAGCCCTGCAGTCCGCCCCACACTGAACAGATAGGGCTGACTTACATAACCAATAGGGTATTATGGAAGCAATAATCGTAACTTCTGAGGTTAGATCATAAAAGAAAAGTTCGTTTTGGCTTCTGTATTATCCTCTTGGATCACTCATTCTGAGGGAAGCTGGCTGCCATCTTGTCAGGACACCAAACTCCTACAGAGAAGTCCATGTGAAAAGAAACTGAGGTCCCCACTAACAGCCATGTGAGGGGGCCATGTGAAAACCATCCTCCAGTGCCAGCACATGAGAGACCCTGAGCCAGAACCACCCGCTAAGCTAAATTCTTGACACCCAGACATTGTAAAATAATGTTTGCTGTTTAAGGCTGCTAAGTGTAGGGCGGGAGGTAATTTTTTACCCAGTAATAGATAACCAATATAGAATTGCTGGGAGGATTAAGTGAAATAATGCATGAGAAGTGTTTAGGACAGTTCTTGGCACATGGTGAACATTTGGGGCACTTCCAGCTGGTCATGAGTGTGTGTGAAGCACCCGAGCAGTACCTGGCATATAGTAAATGTGCATTGAATATGTGTTGCATGAACATTAGGTATTGTTATCTCTACTACCATTATCTCCGTTGTCATTATATATGACCTCAAACCAAAATTACTTCCCAAGTGAGCTGGATCCTCAAATTTCTTCTCTGAAAATGTTAAAAATAGAGCTGTCTGAAAATCCCAAAGCCAGAGAATCAAGTTTTCAAACTCTATGCCGAGGGCTGGCATTTATATAACTTTTCAGCACTTTGAATGCACCTTCTTCATTATCCTGAACCGCATTTAGATGAGACAAAGATCTATATTATGCACAGTGATCACCTAGATGAAAACCTAGGTGTAAAAGCAGCCACTCACCATCGACACAAGAAGGTCGGTTTCTTGTTGTTCCAGCCACTTTCCCAGGTAGACAGGAACACTTCACTGTTTGTGACCGCTCCTCAATGCGATTTTTATTACAACATCTGTGTGCTGCTATCACTTCACATGTCCCTCCTTCTGGCAAGAGAGAAATAACAGGGACACTGATCAGAAATAACTCAGCGTCCATTTAGGCCTGTGGGGAAAGTGAGAGAAATTAGAGCAATAGTTTCTGTGAAGTATTATAGTATTGGCTTCTTCTCTTCCACTTTCTATATAACCTGTATATGTACATGTAGACAAGATCATACACAAGGTCTGTGGAATGTTGGGAGAGACAACAGACATGGCAGCACTATAGTTTAAATGCCACACAGAGCACACATGCAGAGCCCTCCAGAGACGGCAGCTCCAGGCTGGGTGTCCTGGAAGGCAGTGGGGTAGCAAACCCTGGAGCTAACACAAAATAAAGATGCTTCCTAAGTGCATTATATTTGGGGAGCTCACTCTTGTGTCATCTTTGCCTTTACAATTCCCTGAACTCCCATTAATGACAAGCAACTGACCCTCCAGTGGTACAGCACCTGTAGTGGCAGGAAAACTGCCCAGAATTTAGCCCTCCCTCCCACTGCCTGCGTACACTCAAGGGGGCTAAATAGAAAAACTAACTGAGGAGCCATTTCTCCAATTCAGATACCATCCAAAAATGATAGAAAGACTCGCTGGAGAAAATGGGTATGTACTTTAAATGGTACCTCGAAATATAGACCCAGGTGTACGGCTTCACTTAATTGTTACAAGTTAGTCATGCATTCATGAACATTTACTGGCAACATTATAATGTATGGCAGTCTCCACTAGTTTCTTAGCAGGTGCACTGCTGGGTCTGTTTAGAGCAGCGGTTCTCAACCTGTGGGTCACAACCCCTTTGGGGGTTGAATGACCCTTTCACAGGGGTCGCCTAAGACCATCGGAAAACAAAAAGATATTTACATTACGATTCATAACAGTAGCAAAATTACAGTTATAGAGTAGCAACGAAAATAATTTTATGGTTGGGGGTCACCACAACATGAGGAACTGTATTAAGGGGTCGCGGCGTTAGGAAGGTTGAGAACCGCTGGTCTAGAGGTTTGGTGAGCATTCAGGTGGGTCTTCCAGCCTGCAGGATATCAGCTAAGCCAGGTCTCCAGGGACAAAAGATACCCCAAGTGACCAGAAACCAGAAATCAACTTTCCCAGCATCAGATTCTGCATTCAGGAAAAATGTTTTTCATTTAACAAGAATGGGCCCACGACATTTATGATTTTTGGCATTTAGGGCTCAGGAAGCATTTGTTAAGTAACCACTGTATACAAGTTACTGTGTTTAAACTGTAAGGAATGTGCATCCCCGCCCATATATGGTGGGAACTTAGGAAACACTGATGTAAAGGAGAGGAGTGAGGGGAGACAGGGAGAGAAGGAAGGAGGGAGGACTTAAGACAAAGCTCCGCCCTGTCCTGAGAACTTACAGTGTAATGCAGTGGTTCTCAATGCAGGGGTGGGGGTGGGGTGATTTTACTATTTGTCCTCCCCACTAAAGATATTTGGAAAAGTCTGGAGACATTTTTAATCATCATTATTAGTGGAGGGTGGGTGCCATTGGCATGTAATGGGTAGATGCCAGGGACGCTGCTAAACATCTTACAAAGCACAGGACAGTGGCACACAACAAATAGTTGTCTGGCCCAAATGTCAATAGTGCTGAGTTTGAGAAACCTTAGTTTAATATGATAGAAACACAAGAATCTCTGACTTAAGGCAGAATACACCTGCCTCCCTCAATGGGAGGAAAAAGCTTGGGCTTTCAAAACAGCTTGTTTTAGTCTGAATTTCTGCTCTGTCACTTACTATCTGAGAGCCTCAGTTTCCTCATCTGTAAAATAGGAACAGTAATAACACCTGCCTCATAGGGTTGTGTGAGTATAAATCAAAATGACACTGAGATTAGCACTGAGACTGACACAGAGTAAAGTGACCATATAGGCTACCTATGGTAATAATATCAAGCCACATTGATGCATTTCTTTGGGAATGCCCCTCTCTTTCTGCTTCAGAAACTTTGCAAATATGATTTCTTCTGGAATACTCTCTCCTACCTCCCAACCCTCCACACACCACCCTCAGCTCAAATGCAGTTACCCAGTTAACTCTCCTTTGAACTGAGAAAGTTCAGTTCCTCAGAGAACACCCCTCACTTTCACCATTTTTCATTCTCTGAGCACCCTATACATTTCCTTGCATAATTGTAACCACTAGTCTACCACCCCAGGCAAGCCTGGTCAGGGTCAAGGCTGTTGCTTGTCTCCTCAAAGCCCTATCATCAACAAATGTTATAGGAACTCCTATCGGTACTCCTGTTGGTTGAATGGATAAAGAATAAGTGAATGAATGAAAATTAACACCATAATGTAAGTACCAAGATCTGGGGACATAGGTGGAGGAGACAATCATCATGTGAGGAACTAGGAAGGCTTCTCTAGTTATGAGTTGAAAGGTAGGGCAGGGCTTCAGCAGGGGATGACGGAGGGGAAGCATTATGCTAATATGAGAGGCTGGGGCATTTTTATTAAAACAGGCTTGTAATTATAGAACAGTTTTATATTTACAAAAAACTAGTGAAGATGGTACTACTGAGTTCCCATATATGCCAAGCCCTATTATTTCCTATTTTTATTCCCCTAACATTAACATCTTATATTAGTGTGCTAAATTTGAACCAATATTGCTACATTTTTATTAATTAAAGTCTATGTTTTAATTTAGGTTTCCTTAGCTTTTACCTAATGTTCCTTCCTGTTCCAGGGTTGCATTCAGGACACCACATTACATTTAGTTGTCTTGTCTCCTTAGGCTCCTTTTGGCTGTGATAGCTTTTCAGACAGTTCTTCTTTTTTTTATGACCTTGACAGTTCTGAGCACTGTTGGTCAGGTATTATATAAAACATCCCTCAAATGGGATTTATCTGATGCTTTCATCATGATTAAACTGAGGTTATGTGTTTTTGGAGGAAGGCCACAGAAGAAAAGTGCCATTCTCATCACATCATATCAAGGGTGCATACGATCAACATAACTTATCACTGTTACTGTTCACTTGGCCTAGGTAGTGCTCGTCAGATTTCTGCACTCTGACCTTCCCCTAACCCCACTTCTTTCCACACTGTCCTCTTTGGCAGGAAATCACCAGGTGTAGCCCACACTTGAGAAATGGGGAGTTATGCTCTACCTCCTGGAGGGTTGCACATCTACTAAAAGTATTGGGAATTCTTCTGCATAACCGAATTGTCTCTTCTCTCTCATCTATTTATTTTTATTCATTTATATCAATATGAACTCATGGATATTTATATTTTGGGTTATAATCCAATACTATGTTATTTATTTTCTTGCGCAAAATATTTTGACTTTGGCCATTGTGAGCTCTTTCAACTGGTTTGTGTGTATCCCTACCCCCCCCATCCCCCTTTTTTTTTTGAGCACTTCCTTAATTTCTGGCCCTATAAGATGCTCCAGGCTTATCTTATTTATTTCCTACCCTGGTCCTAGAATCAACCATTTCTCTAAGGAGCTCTTCAGGGTATTTTTATATTTATTTATTTTTAGTAATTATTTTTTCAATTACCATTGACATTCAATATTATGTTACTTTCAGGTATACAGCTTAGTGGTTAGACACTTACAACTTATTAAATGATCTCCCCATAGTCTTGCACCCACCTGACACCATATAGCGTTATTACAATATTATTGACTATATTCCCTAAATTGTACTTTACATATGCATGACTGTTTTGTAACTGCCGATTCGTAGTTCTTAATCCCTTTACCTTTTTCACCCAGATCTCTAACCTCCTTGTATCTAGCAAACATCAGTTTGTTCTCTGATGAGTTCGATTCTGTTTTGTTCATTTGTTTATTTTGTTTTTTAGGTCTAACATATAAGTAAAATTATCTGTATTTGTCCTTCTCTGTATTTCTTATTTCACTTAGCATAATACCCTCTAGGCCATCCACATTAATGCAGATGGCAAGATTTCATTTTTCTTATGGCTGAGTAGTATTCCATTGTATATATGCACCACCTCTTTATCCATTCATCTTTTGATTGGAGCATTTAATCCATTTACACTTAAAGCAATTACTAATAGGTATATAGTGATTGGCACTTTATTAATTTTTTTCTGATTGTTTTTGTTAGTTTGTTTCTGTTCCTTTCTTATTCTCTTGCTCTCCTCTTATACAAGGTGTGATCAAACAATACAGTGAATGCTTAAATAAAAATAACTTATTACAGTAAAAGGCACATTGTCATTAATCCCCCTCAAAACACTCCCCCTCACTTGGAACACACTTATCACATTGTTCTCGGTTTTCACAGCCAGCTGCGTGGGGAATCCTCTTTCCTGCACTGGTGCTCCAGGTTGGGGAGCCTGATGTGTGGCTGGGACCCCCACCCCCACTTCACTCCTCAGGGGGACCTCTGCAGCCAAGATATCCCTCCTGATTCTTTTTTTTTTTTAAAGATTTTTCTTGGGGAATTGGGGTAAGGGGAACAGACAAGTTGCTGTCGTTTTGTTCTTCAGTCTAGCTGTGGAGGATGTTGCTTCACTGGCCCAAGTTGGCACCATCATTGCGCTCTTCCCGGGTGAGGCAGATCAGTCGCCGGCTTCCAGACAGCTGCTTACAGTGGCTGCTGGCCGCTCATGCTGGCTGCCGGCCACATACGGTAGCCCATGGCATCCCACTGCAGCAGGGGCTGCAGCCTACACTGTCTCTGGCGACTCATGGCAGCCCAGCTCCAGGTTGAGCTGTTGTTCAGCATCTTAGCTGTAGAGGGCAGTGTCATCAGCCCTTATATGTGGGATCTGAACTGGGGCCTTGGCCAGCCCCGCCCTCCTGATTTTTAACTGCCACATGTGAATGTGGTATCAGCCCATTTCCTGTCTCTGCCCCTTCTACCAGTCTCAACCTGGTTTCTTTTTTATATCCTTAGGTATAGAACTTTGTTCAGTTAATCTTCAGGTGGTTCTCAAGAGTGGTTGTTCTGTAATTTAGTTCTAATTTTGATGTGGTCATGGGAGGAGGTGAGCACA